AGTGAGATGCTGTCTGCACAGAGAATGGCCGACACCCGTCTCCTGGCCACTGATGGCCTGGGCCCCTCCCCTGCAAGGTGCCAACTGAAGGTGTTGGAGAACAAAGAGATCAGGTGGCCTCTTGGCCCGGGAAAGAGACAAAGGCAGAGGAGGGGCTGGAGAGTTTCAGTTTGGAGCTGGCTGGGGAAATGGAGGGTCTGGCCTCCCTGGCCCCAAGATGGACCTGACTGTGGGGTCCGGTTTCTGTACCTACAAGCTCTGTTTTAGACCATGCTCCTGTCCTCTAATAAACCTCTGTTTTCCTGGCTGGCTGAGAGTCACGTCTGACTGCGGAGTTGGGGGGCAGGGCCCTCTGGCTGCCCCAGGACCCCGCCCGGGCAACTCGCTGTGGGAAGCGCACGGTGGGGGAGGGGAGGCTGAATGCTCCGAGGTCAGACCCAGGAGGTGAAGCCGTGTGAGCTTCTTGCCCTGAAGACAGTCTGCTCCGAGGGAGAGGAGGCTCCCCAAAGTCCTGACTGGCTTTGTGGGGAGCAGTTCCAGAGCATCGCCCGGGGACTCCGTGACAACTGGTGGCAGCGGTGGGATGTACGGCACCCTGTGAATGGCGCTCCTTGCAGTAAGTGACTGGGGAGCAGTAAAACAAAGGGGGGATAATGAGGACCAGGAGTGCTGAAGGCTCAGAGAGGGACGGTTTCAGGGGGCAATTAATCTCTGGGAGTGTGCAACCAGCGAGAAGGACTGTTGGAGTAACGGGGTCCCCCTGAGGACTGCAGCGAGCAGTCTCGGGGCGGAGGAGCTTGCCGCTCGACCCTGGGAGAGAGAGAGACTTTTGCAGTAGCAGAAACCGTGGGGGAGCTGAGAGCACACGGGCCTCTGAGTCCAAAGCAACTTGGGAACAGCGGAGTGATGGCCTATCAACATCTCCTCAAGAAGGACATTGTAATCTTGTGCAAAAAGAGAGGGTTACGCATTGGGAAGTTCACCAAGGCCCAGTTAATCGTGCAGCTGGAGGACGAGGACCGCTCTAAGGAGCAGATTCCTGACCAAGATGGGGCTACAAGAGGATCTGGGAGCAGCAGGAGCAGTAGCCAGGCATCCCCAAGAGTCTGGTCCCCAACCAGACGGGGGTCTTCATGATCGGGTTCCCCATCGGGGGGTCGGACACAGATGGGACTGGAGCTGAGTGCGAGAGAGCGAGAGGACCGTGAGAGAGAGCAAGAGCCCGAGGAAAAGCTGCAGGAGAAGCAGCAGCAGCATGGACTGGCGATGGTGGAGCGGAGAGGCATAGGGGGCTCCCCAGGGGTGAGTGGGGGTAGACCCCGGGCTGCCAGTTCCGCAGGGAACCTCGATACTAAATTGCTGCCCCTGGTTAAGGAGGGGGGATGTGGATGCCCACCGCACGGCCTTCACGCAGGCGGGTGATTTGAACCAGGGGGACCCTGTGGAAAAGCCCCAGTATCTAGCTCCCTTGCTGGGTCCCAAGGCCATAGACGCTGTCAGCCAGATGGGTGGGGTGGAGGACAGGCTCCCACTCCTGGCCCCGGCCTACATGTCTGCGCGGAGTCTCCTGGGCTCAGGCCCCTCGGACCCCCAGTGGGGGCGGAAGATGGGGGTCCTGGAGATGAAGGAGCAGCCTCACTCCTGGCAGGCCGGATAATGCGATGGTTCTGCCTCCCCAATGGTTACGAATGTTGGGGGGTTGTACTGCACAAGCTGAGCTGATAGCGTAAGAGAAGATCGAATAGCTCGATAGATAAAGGAGAGTCTGTAGAATATAGGAGAACAAAGACAAGAAAGAGCTCCTGGAAAAAACACTCCAAGAAACCAAAGCTTCCGGTGCTAGAAGAGCCTCCTTACCAGGTATTTTATAGGATCCTGACGCGATGTAATTCAGGCCCAACCTACTGTACCCAAATCTTATTTCTGTACCCTAAGAAATGTATGGGGACCCTTCTCCTCTAGGTTAGTGGATTATCACACTTACTTTCTATGGATATTAATAAGGATGATGTCACTCCAAAACTGCCAACCTAGGCTCTCTTGGCGACTTCCAAGTAGTGGTGGACCCTGCGGTTGCCAACCAGTTGCAGATGCCGGATAAACCTGTTCAGTGTTGTGTGTGGTTCCTCCCTTTGGTTCCCCAAAGTTCAGGGACCATTCGCAGCTTTTCTGCTGACCTACTCGGAACTGATGATACTTTTAGCGATCGAGCGGGTCTGGCCGCATCTTACAGGCCGGTAGGTTTCTTGAATTTCAGCAAAACTTATTCTTAGGAAACAGATGCCTGAACACACCCTAAATTCAAAGGAATGAATACGGATAAAATATAAGAATGAAATGGATGAATTCAGAAAAAGAAACGTTTTCTTTGATACGGCTGGCTGGATTAGTAGGATATAAGAGCTAACTAAATAATGCTACGGGCTACACTCTCTGTAGTTTAATAAACTTGCTTTATCTTTTATCCTGACCCGTGCGTTTCTGAGTGGGGAAATCGTAGTTCAGCTCATAAAAGCTGGCGCAGACGTTCTCCGCATCAAGGGGGAGAGCGAATGGATTAATGAGCTTGCACCAGGCCGGGGCTGATGTTGGGGTGTGCGCCTCCCCCCGCCTGTCGTGTCCCGGGCTGGCAGAGCGCGCCCCTCAGCCCACCCTGCGGAGCTCCCCCAAACGGTGCCAACCGGGAACGGAGCCCAGGGCCAGCCTGGCAGCTCCAGCCCTCCCTCAAACTCTCCCTGTGCCCTGAGCTACCCCCCCCCCGTCTGCACACAGCCCATAGTGCCCCTTCCCTGCACCCTGAGCTACCCCCTCCCTGCCAACACACAGCCCCTAGCTACCCCCTCCCTGCACCCTGAGCTACCCCCTG